TTCGGTTGTCTGACTGACCCAGTATTCACATGTGTTCGAAATCGAAGCCGTGGCCTGGCTTGGATGCATGAGCGACTATTCAGAAGCATACAATTAGGAGGCAATGGAAAGCAGCTCAAGACAGCCTGTACGAGCAGCTCCGTGAACCACGTCCGACGAAAATAAACTCCACCACAGGCACAGACCGTCGCGCGTAGCGCCGCGTTTTATGCTCTGACGAATTTTGACTGGAAGATGCTTACCCCCCGTCGTCAGGGCCATTAAAAAAAGGGTCTATTTTTGTCTCCGTCTAGGGTAGGGTGCACAGCCAGTCTTTTGGTCAGGAATGGCTCGATCAGGGAGGGGGAGAAGGAACATTGAAGAGGCCTGCACCTGAGCGTCAGAATCACACTGTGACCGGAGAGAGAGAACTTAAAAAATGAACCTTTTTTCGCTGACTTTTGTCATCAGACGCGTGAGAGACCAGTAAGACCAGCTGTGGAGAGGGAAGGCTGCATTAAGAGGCACGAAGCACGCTTTTTGACGATGGACTAGCCCTGCGAAGTGAGTCCACAGAAAGCGGAGGAAATTTTAGTGGAGAGAGGAGTGTCCATGTAACGTTGATACAAGCGAGAACACAACAGTCCGTTGATCGTTTTTTTTTTACTGGGATAGTGAAGGAAGGTGGCTGGCGTGTCGGTAGTAGCTGCTGTACATTTGTACTGTCTCATTAAATACTAACCCAAATTCTGAAAAAACTTCTTAAGTGAGGTTTTAATACTACTTATGGTACAGTTCAGTCACGTCAGGATACCAGTTTTCAAACGAGCTTCCCCCTTCCGATCGACTTAAAAAACCACGAGGTATAAATAATACTTTAGTAGAATGTGTTTTTTTCTACCGAGTTTCGATGTCTTTACAGATTCAAATATAATTTATGAAGAAAAAATGCAAGAAAATAATATTCTTTCTTGCAGTTACACAGTGGAAAGTTACGTCTTTTTTCAAATGTTATACCTAAGGTGTGGTTTGGTTTTAAAAGCTTCTAATTAGGCGATTTTTAAGTGTCTCCTCCTAAACCATCTTATATATCCATTTGTGGATGCTGTTTATACAGTGTACAACAGCGTCTACATTGATTGCAAAATTTTATGAGCACTGCGAGAGGTCGTTCTAATAATAACGTAGATAAATATGCAATTCACTTAAAACGGCATCTATACAGCATTCGGTTTGGGAAACCTGAATACAGGTGGGACTGCAAGTCAAGTTAAAAACTAGCCGGAAATTGAAAAGGCTTTCTGGGAACGAATGATTCCCCATACAAAACTTTAAGAGGGCGTAATATCCTACCCGTTGGGTATAAAAAACGTTTTTTTGTGCATTTTTTCCATAAAACTGAATCTACGAGGAAATTAAAACTCAGAAAAAATACTACTTAAGTGGTCACCGTTTAGTGTATTCTCTGCAGACGATCTGAAAGGGTTGGGTTGAAAGCCGGTATACTAACGTGACTGAAATATTTGACGATTATGGTACACAATAATCGATATTACAACCTTACTGGAGTATTTTTTTTTCTAAAATACACTTTAGAGTTTCGTTTAACACTTCATGATATACCACCATAGCTGCTGCATGGACAGTGCTAAAAGTGCATGCATGTCAGGTCGGGGGAAATACTTCGACACGATATTTCACAATAGTTTACAAGCATTACGGCAAAAAATCGTAAAAAAGGTACACTAAGGACCTCCTTACGATACCCCGGCCAAGATTTCTGTGTGCATCCCAGATAGCAACTGCCTGTAAGGTGGTTCGTCGCTAAAACAGGAGCAATGATGCGAGAATCGCAAAAGAAAGTCCAAGACAAAGTTAAGAGACAATCGTGGGTGCCGTGGTGGCCAACGGTACTACCAACGCCCGTCCCGGGGCATTTAGACTGTTTCGGACTAAAATAGCATGTCCGGACAACAAGAAAGAATGCCTGAGGCGTGGCTACGATGGACTGGTTGGCGTGAAGGAAGCCATAGTGATAAATGAGCACAATTACCCCCACCGAGGGAAGTGCGTTTTGGGCAAAAAAAGGCGGGCAGTTTCGAATTACGCTTACCGGAAGTACTGCAGATGTTCCGGATTAACGGAGGAGGCGGGGTTGATCTGCAGAGAAAAGTTGTTGTCACTGGCGTACTCGAAGAGGCAGTACATGGGGTTGAGGAGCTGATCGGACAGTTGGAAGAACCATTCCCTGTGGGGGGGGGAATGAAAAGGATGAGGGGTTAATGGGGGGGAGGGACGCGTTGAGCAACAG